AAGTGTCAAAAGCATGAGCAAGGCATTACTAACGCCACCTAACAAGTTCACCAGCAGAGGTGAAATCTGAACCAGGGACATCCTAGTTCACATAATAGCATCTCAGCCATAGCAGCTCTCAATTACTCGCAGGTTCTAACATCTTTTGCCTCCCAGAATGGTTTTATCTGTTTAGTTCATCTGGCTGGCAGGACGAGTTTCAGGATCCTTTCTGAAAATGCATAACTCCCAAATACTAACCTGTCTCAGCCTGTGGCTGGGGCAACTCCTGTTCTGTTGCTGGGACGGTTTCCGTGGCTTCACCAGGCATTTCTGGGAGACACACAGGAAAGAAAAATTCAGTCATTCATCTATAGAATGGTCAGTGTAGAAACATTTGCCCTGGGTCCCTGACAAACAATATCTTCTTTATCATCAAAATATCAGGCAAATTACAAGAGCTCAATGACTTCCTTCCTACAGCATGCTTTTCCTAACTTCCAGGTGTAACTTGCTCAAAGCAGCCAATCTGAAATCTTTATATGCACGCTCCGATGGAAATTTTATACATTCAGAACCTTTTGTCAGCTGTAGTAAGTTTTCATGCCTCTGCTAAACTGACAGAAGAGTGCTGTTGTGGTAACCATGGTGAATTAGGGTCTGTGAGGCCCAGGTTCAAAGCCCCATTTGCCATGATACTTACTGGACACCAGTCATCCTTTCTCAGCCTAACCTACATCACAATTTGTTATGAGGATAAAAAGGACAGAGGCAACACCGTGTAAACTGCACTAAACCAATGAAGACCATCTCCATTTAACAGTGAAGTAACAGCAAAAGTGACCTGATTGTGAATCTAGCTGAACCAGGAATACGTTTAAATTTTAATAAATTAATTCCATCACTTAACAAAGGTATGTAAGCAGAATCAATTGGATTATCATTAAAAACAAGAAGAAACCCAAGGTGTGCCTCAGGGAAGAAAGATCTATCAACTGCTATTAGCCACACTAGGTGCAAAACAATGAGAAAGGAATGCTGTCTTTCTATGCTGCTTCTAAACATTCCCAGAAGCATCTGAAGGGCTACTTTACAAACAAAGTAAAACAAGAGTTTTGTTTTGTACTTCTATAGTTTAGCACAAGCTTCCACATCAGAGCTCACTTCATCAGTGTACATCCATTAGGTCAATGTTTTTATATCCACAACAGAAAGGGGTGGGGACATGTGTTACAAAGGCAGGCGAATTTAAAACAAGATCTATTAAAAAAATAAGAAGTTCGGTTATAGCAGTTGTTGACAGCTAGTGCAAATCTAGTGTACGATAAATGATACAGAAAGGCTAGATCTGAGTCCAGTAGCACCTCAGAGACCAACAAGATCGGACAAAGGGAACTTTGAATCTTGAAAGCTTATACTAAAACTATCTTGCTCATCACGAAGGTGTACAAGACTCAAATCCAGCTGCTGACTAATATGGCTACCCTCTAAAACTAGATACAGAATGCTGGCCTAACCCCAACGTAATACGACAATATTCTTCTCACATTCATCTATTGCAACATAGTCACAAGGCTATCAATTTACCCAACCTATGACACACCAGAAAGAAGTTTCCCATTCAGTCTCATGGATCTCCTCCCTTAAACTTTTACTTCATGCTACTCTAACAGTGGGGTAGGGTACACAACAAAACCTTTCAACCGCATCTCTCCAAGCTCCATTTCAAAACACAGTCACTATTGCCACTCTACCCTTTTCTATACAAACCCATACTACTTAGAATCCTGGTCACTATATACATTTCACATAAGGCCATTTTGAGAACACTTCGACTGGTAGAAGGCACCTCCACCTTCACGTTCTATCTTTTGCCCGTATTAACCATTATGGAGAAAGGACAGCAGCCTGCACTGCTCAATGGGCTGGATATGGGTCCAGGGATCCCCAGGTGCTAACCCCTAATTGGGTTGCCAACTGGTGGTGTTTGGAGAGGGGCAGGGCCTAAACCCGGTATAATGCCATAGAGTTCTAGCGCAGATTTACTTCTCCAGGCCCCACCGGGAACCCTACCCCTAAACTAGAAGCGTAAGGAAGATGCCCTTCTACTCGCTACCAGGACGCTCACGCGTACACAACCCAATGGGGGAGTCACTTCGGAGCAGAAGTCCCCGCAGTCTTCTCTACTGCCTTCCTAAGCGAACACCTCGCCCACCCGAATCACAGCGGCCCGCCCTCTCCCCACACTCCTGTCGCCGTCCCACTGGAACCAACAGCTCTCTCCAAGGCCCCACCACCCAAGGCTGGCGGTTCAAGCGGCCTACCACTGGAACTGTCACCGCCTCTCGAAGTCCCGCCTCGACCCCGCCCGCCCCCGACGCATCCCCGCGAAAGGCCCAAACCCTCCCCAGCTTCGGCGGCTTTCTAGCGGGCTGGCAGCCCCGCATCCCGAAGCAGATGCCAGTGGATAGAAACGACAACACTCACTGAAGAAGACGAGCCGGGCCAAAGATGGCGACAGAAAGAGAGCGAGAAAGGCAGGGAGGGCAACTTCCGGCCCAAACCAGGAAAGTTTCCGGGTTCAACGTGCAGCACTTGGAGCCTCCTTTACCCAGGCGAAGTAGTTCCGGCGTCTTTTTCTCCTGTCTTTTGAACGCCAGTTGATCTCTACTGGCGGTTTTCTTTCTGAGCTACTGGAAAAGCAACTGCCAGCGCCAAATCAGGTGTTGCAAGGGGGAAGAATAAATACGAGGAAAGAAAAACATTTTAACGCAATTTAAAAACGTTATCATCATTAATAAGGTAAAGGTTTCCCTTCCTCGAAAGCCAGTAGAATCCGACTCTAGGGGGCGGTTCTCATCTCCGTTTCCAAGCCGAATAGCCAGCGCTGTCCGAAGACATTTCCGTGGTCATGTGGCTGGCACGACTAAACGCTGAGGCACACGGAATACTGTTATGTATTTGCCTACTTGCAATTTCTTGCATACGAACTGCTAGGTTGGCTGGAGCCAGAGACGGGAGCTCCCGTCACCCGGCACTAGGGTCTTGAACTCCCAAACTACAGACCTTCTGGTCTGCAGCTCAGCGTCTTAACCTCTGAGCCACCACAGCCCATCATCATTATTAATAGAACTGGGTAAACGTTTTGAGCAAGTTTTGGATTTACACAAAACTCTTCTTCAGTAACCTAACACACACACACACACAAAATATACATAAAGCGCCATGCATGGCACAATGATAAAGGTGGGGAAGGAGAAAAATAATTAGGCCTGGAATGAGTCAGTACTAATCGACACAAGAGCATAAAGAGGTGCCTTGCTAGATCAGACCAGTGGCCTTTCTAGTACAGCGATGGTGTGAAAGCCAGAATGGGCATTAAATGACTGATAATACTGCAAGAAGCAATGGGATGCATTAAAGACACGTGAGAACAATATTTTATTAATGGAAAAGCTGAAATGTTTTGCTATTATGGCAACTCAACTCCCTGTTTCTAACAAGCTGGATATGCATGACGCCCAGGCTGAGTCAAGATTCTGAGTCTTGCTTCAAAAATAGCATTAGGGCAACTGGTTGTGTTTATCTGACTAATCTCTTTATCTCCCTATCAACATCTAATTCTGAAGAAACGATAACCCAATTGAATTCTCTAATCTTGTCATCACCAGAGAGATCAACAGCCAGGCTATTTCTGGTGGTCTCAGATAAGCGTGAACAACAACTAACTGCACCTTTGTAAACTTCCAAACAAGTCAGTTGCTGGATGCAGACTTTTAAGTTCTACAGAAATTGTTAACAGGTGTTCAAAGGAAAAATGAAAAGAAAAAGCTACAATTATAGTTGCTCAGGTCATGTTAATATGATACATACAACCAGGGGTCTTGTTGTAGAAAAAGAGCTGCCGGAGCTCATTAGCATAACTCATTAGCATAACTTATTTGCATATGCCACGCCCCCTGACATCACCGGAAGTGACAGAAGGCCACACCCCCTGACATCACCGGAAGTGTGTCAGAAGGCCCGGCTACTTACCCTCCTGCTTCATCCTCATTCCCAAACGGAATGAGGATCGAAGCAGAGGGCGGGGTAAAGAAGGGGGCGGGGCTTCACCACGTGACCGCCCTGCCCCCTAGAGGTTCTCTTCCGGAGCTCCGTACCTGAGAGCTCCCCCCCGACTAGAGCCCTGCATACAACTAAGCATCCTTTCAGACGAAGGATTATCCTTTGTGGGTGTGTAAAGTGCTGTTAAGTCGCAGCCACTTGTGGCCACCCCATGGTGTTTTCAAGGCAAGAGATGGACAGAGGTGGTTTGCCATTGCCTGCCTCTGCATAGCGACCCTGGAATGCAGAGATTTCATTTATCTATTAGAATCCATACCCCTCTGGTCGACCTGTTCAGTGGTTCTCTGCCTGTGAATGTGGAGGTTCTATTTACCCATGACATCTCATTACCAACTGAAAACCACTTAAGCTGCTGGCCACTGCCACATCTTGTGTCAGTGAGTTCCACAAGTTAATTACTCTGTGTGTGAAGAAATACTTTCTTTGAATGGACCTGAATCTACTGGCCATCAAATTCATAGGGTAACTCCAAGTTCTAGTATTATGGGAAGGGGGATGAGTTCCCATTATCCTTTTTCTTCACTCCCTGCATAATTTTATAAACCTGCCTGTGAAGAAATGCGGTTTTTCTTTGGAGGTTTGAAATGAACAAAACCTCCATTCCAAGGTTTAAAAGGGTTTTTTTCCCCTCCTGGGCAGAGAACAGGCAGGGAGAGGAAGTCAGTCAATGGCTTTCCAGGTTCACCTCGGCTGCCTCTTAAGAAATGCTAATAGATCTAACAGGAGAGATAATAGGTGGGTCAAGCTCTCCAACCTTCTCCAAGCAGGGAACAGAGATCTGGAGGACTTTAGACTAGAAAGGCTCCAGGAATAATCTCCTGGAAGAAGCTCTCGGAAATGCTTGTCTGACCTGGTGAGTGGGTGGGGGAAAGAGAAATGATAAAACTCAGGAGAGCAAGGAGGAAGCTCTTTTTTGTGCTGGGTCCACCAGGGCAGACAGAAGTCTTAACTGCAGACTGGAGGAGGCAGCCATTTCACCATGTGCTGTCTCAGAGAGCTACAGAAAGCTTCAAGATAACGGTAACTCTGAACAGATCTGTAACTTCCTAAACTTTAGGAGCCTGCCCTATTTTAACATCTGATAGGGCATGTACAGAAAGAGGGACAGAGGATCTGTGTTTTTCCCATTTCTTTTGAATCCCTTGCTCAGTCTAGTGCTATGCTAAAAGGATTAACATCACTGAGCACTTTAATTGTAATATATGGTTGTTTTTATTTTGTGTTATATGTTTTTATATGTTTTATTCACCTGGCACATGGTGCCCTTAACTGTGAGCTGCCCTGAGACCGTTCGCGGGGCGGGCGGGATAGAAATATAATAAAATAAATAAATATTAACTTTCTCCTGCCAAAACACTTCTGAAATGGGTGTTAAACAATAGTACCACAAAAAACAACAGTGGGATACATTAAAAGAAACAAGAAACTTTATTTTAGAAATGAAAATGCTGAAATGTCATGCTGAGCCTAATTGAAATATTTTGATCAGAACCTCGTTTGTTCATGAGTATTTATTGTATGTCAATGAAGACTTACCTGATTTACCTGATGAAGGAACAGTTCCCTAACACTGACTATCCAGAACTGCATAGTTTTCATTTGGGACGGATCTTATTTTCTATAAGCCGCAATATATAGATGTTTGGACTTCAGTTCAAGGACTTGTGAAATTTAAATAAGCAATTCTTTTATTTTGTGTTCTGTTACTGTAGGAAGTCTGCTGCTTTGGAGATGTGCTGTGACTTACTGTGTGTTTGAGTTCATTACCACCCACTTTTTGATAATTGCTCTTTATAACAGATTCCATTACAGTGGGAATTTATTCCAAGTACATAGGCTCAATCTATTAACTCCGGCCCTCGAAGGCAGTACTCACAGCTATGTAAACAAATTAACCTATAGAGCCCTGGAGCTCATTACTGTCTGCCCCAAACTGGAGCTCTCCAGTATTTCAAGCAGAAAAAGATCTTTCCCAGTACCTGTTACCTGAGGAAATTTATGTGGTGCTTGTTAAGAGAAGCTTATACTTCTGTGCTGCTACTCACTTTTTACCCACAGGAAATCTTACTCCATTTTACCATATTGTCATGAAAACTGCTAGAACCCTGGAAGGTGCTGCTTCACCAAAACAGCTTGCCAGATATGCAGCCACTCAGAGCTACTCTGCCACTTATTGCATCTATGACTGGGCCTTGATTTTCTTGTGTTGGGTCACTCTTGTAACCAGTTGATCACCTACTCTGACTAGTGATTGCATTTTTGCAACAAATCAAGTGAGGTTTTTTGTAAACTAGCTTCCCCACCCCCTGTCCCAACTGTTGATATGCTGATATGCTACTGAAAACCTCGCTCATGTTGTTCCTCAGGGCCACCTATCCACCAGGATTTTGTGGAGATCAGTGGGCTGCAGTGGGGGGGGGGGCAGTGAAGTTCCAGTCTGTTGACAGAAAATCTTCTAGTTTGGATCCAACTGGATACTCACTGTCATGACCCACCCCCCTCTGACCAGCCCAGTGTCTCTGACTCCTCAGGATAGACCGAGGAGGGCCAGAGGGCCTAGCACTGCCAAGCTGTCTGCTGACAATGTTCGGACAGTGCCAGAGGCCCCCACTGTCAGAACCTGCAAGGGAGACCTTGCCACCAACCCCTGAAATAGCCACCAGGCCTCCACTGGGCAGGCTGTGAACCCAGGTCCATAGTCCCCAGGGCAGGGGTCATTTCGTAGAAAAAGAGGTGCAGGAGCTCATTAGCATAACTATTTGCATATGCCACACCCCCTGACATCACTGGAAGTGTGTCAGAAGGCAACACCCACCGCTGAGGCTCCACTGGGCTCTTTTGGATTGCTAGCTAGCGGGGGGGGGGAGGAACGTGCGGATCTGTCTTTGCAGAGGAGGGAGACCTTGTACCTGAATAAA